GGTTCTCCTGCTCTTGTTTCTGTAAAATCCGTAGTTTTTTCCATACTTTTTGTAGCTCGTAGTTTTTCATGAATTTCCGTAGAAACTACGGAGAATCCGTAGTAGTTGGAGTCTATGCATGCGCACCTGTGGCACCACTTCAAAGCACTATTTAAGGCTTAGAGTTATTAGTTTTCGACGATTTCAAGTTCGGCAATTATGATTTTTTCAAAAAAACGATCAATTATACCTCGTAGTAAACAGCGATCATCGTTTGATCAAGTATCCGAGTTCGACAGAGGAAGGATAGTGGCCTACCGAGAGTGTGGATTATCTTTCAGGGAAATCGGTAGTCGTGTTGCACTAAACCAAACAACTGTAATGCGGATATGTGACCATTGGATGCAGGAGGGTATGACGGAACGACGTGTTCGATCACATCCACCTCAGTGCACCACTTCACGTGATGACAGGAACATTGCGCATGGCAGTGACAGATCGCTTAGTCACATCATGAACCATAGCACAGTACATTCAGTTTGTAACGCATCTTCCAGTGTCTGTGCGTACCATTCGACGCCATTTACAGCAGAATGGTCTGTCCGCAAGACATCCAATGCTTTGTCTACACTTGACGCAGAATCACAGATGCCTCCGCCACCAATGGTGCAATGAAAGAAGGATGTGGATGGCAGAATGGAATGAAATTGTCTTTACCGACGAGTTACGCTTCTGTCTGCAAAACCATGATGGTCAGATTCGTGTCTGGAGACAACGTGGAGAGAGGATGCTGAACAGCTGAGTTATGCACCGCCACACTGGTCCTGGATAACACTCTCGCACTCCTATAATATGCATTGCCGATACTTTAAAAAGCAAGCGCTACATCTCCGAGGTTTTGGAGCCAGGTGTCCTTCCTTACTTTCAGGGCTTGCCCACAGCCATATTTCAACAGGATAATGCGTGACCACACGGGTCCCGCATTGTCCAAGGGTTTGTCGTCAGATTGAATTGCTTCTTTGGCCGGCTCGCTCTCCGGATCTTTTGCCGATAGAAAACATGTGGTCCATGGTTGGTAAACTATTGACCCAGATTACATCCCAAGCTGCCACACCAGATCAACTTTGGCAATGTGTGGAAGCTTCTTGGACTGCTATACCCCAAAAACACATCCAAAGTCCCTTTGAATCAATGCCGAGGCATGTGACAGTGGTGATCTCTAATAATGGCGGCTACTCTGGCTACTGATTCTGGAAGGACTACTGATTCTGGATTTTAATTTCTAACAAATGCACTTCACAGAAGTCTATAAATTTAATCATTTGATACTCGGTCAACATGTTATCTACTAAATAAATTTTGTTGTGATATCTCTTGTCTTTCTTGGTGTTGCAGTTTGGGTGGGAAGCAGTGTACTTTACCAAATAACAAATCTTCGCTTTTTGTGAAGATTTGCTTCATGAAATATGAAAAAATTTGTCAAGAACTATTATTTGCCACAAAATAAGAAATGCATATTAAAAGCCTATACTTAGGGGATTGGAACATTAAAAGGAAAAATATTTCTTTGAATGATATTGTGTCCAATGATATCAATGATGCTCTGGCAATGGTTGGATTATATGCCGGGTTGATTTCGCATTTGAAAACGACCAACCAAAAGTAGTTTGCATTCTGTAAGCCATAAATAACATCTGGTTGCAAAAATAACCTTAACAATCCCACTTATTATACACAGCAGTACGCAATTATAGCAGTTAACAAAATCAAAACCAATGCTCTTGATGACAGATTTTCCAGAAATCTATGTGATGAAAATGATGAACATTTTAGTCATTTATTGTGCACACAGAAAGTTTGCTGGCTATCAAAGGGTAGCTGTATTAAAAGATTTTACGAGCTCTTTTCAGCTGGTCACATTTTTTTTAAAAGATTTGTTTAAAGAAAACTTACTGAAATCTTAAAATGATATAACTTTTTAATTGATTTATATAATAAATTCAATGAAATGAATCTACATCTACAAGGAGACGATTTGAATTTGATCAAAGCAAAGACCTATTTCTGCATTCATGGTCAAAATTTGCTTTGTACAAACAAAAATTGTATCGAAGATAATTCTGTTACTTTCCCAAATCTTTTCTTGGTGGAAACAAATGATGAAGACCTTCTGGTATTCTGTTGGTATTTGGAAGTATGTAAAGATTTTATAAACATATTTCAGGATATCCTCAACACAATCATTTGAGATTGGGTCCCAGAACCTTCCTCAAAATTGAAATTATAAAATGGATATAAAAAATTTTTAATTTTTTTTTTTTTCAAAAGCAAATTCCAGCATTATATCTGGCTTTATGAAAGAAGTCTTTCAATGCATTCCCATTATCATATTCAGATGAAACAGGATTTAAAGTATTCGGCAATTTACTAAACAAAGAAAACATTGTCAACAGTGGAACGAGGCAATTTAAGATTGCTAATTGACAACTACAGCACCAAATGCCGAAACATTAGTTCACTACATCATTCATTACACCAAGCTCAGCCTTCTCACTAATATTAGAATATTAACTTTTTAAATCATATGCATTTGTTAAATTAGATGTACATCTTTTAATATAGTAATTTTAAAAAATTGTGTTTGTTTTTTTAATATATAATACAGTAAATTTCATCTAAGAGTGGCAGACCCTTGAATCACTGAAAAAAATGCGATATGACACAAAAAGTTGAAAAACTGTTATTTAAAAAAAAAAAAAAGAGAATTGGTGTAGGCCCTCTCGAGAAGGGTGGCACATCAAAAAAGACTGGAAACCTATGAGAAGGTTGTTATTGAACATGCTAACTGCATCAGATTGCATATGAATGTTGTTACAGCCCAACTCCATCAGATTGCGCATAATTATCTAGTCATTTTTTTAAACATAAATGTAACAATCTTTTTGGCACAAATGATGTTAAATTTTAAAAACTACGCTCTTTAACCCCCCCCCAGATTTTAATGTAACTGCAAATTTTCCAGGGTAAAAAATTTGAAGATTTAAAGAAAAAAAAACTCAAAAGACTTTAAGTGAATTCTAAAGAGAAAACTTGACAAACAAGTGAATATTTTGAATTAATTAAATATGGAAAAACTACTATCACTCTAAATGGAAAATAGAACAAACATTTAACATCATTAAAGTAGCTTTTTTGCTTTTGCTAAAAAATAATTCAGAAACTTTGTTTTGGCTTATTTAATTACAGTAAAGCATGCAAAGGATATCTGCCAAAGGGGAGGGATACCGTCATGCAGGACTTTCTAAGGCAAAATGACTTGTATACACATTATACATGGGGAAAACTATGAAAACACCCATGTAATCCACCAATTTGTTGAGATTTGAACACCAGAACTGAGCTACCAGTGTTTAGTGACTTTACCACTCGGCAGCTGGTGGGCTTGAAATTGTGTTTTATACCAATTATTATCTACATTAAATTTCAGAAGCAAGATATTAAAAAACTGTTAAGATGAAAGGAAGAGAGATTATGAAACAAAAGAGGAAGAAATAAAAATACTCTATTCTCATTACTTTTCTAAAAAATGCAATTTTAACGCATCTTAATTTTAATGTTATCAATAATAAAATTATTATACTTGTTAAAAACTTTTCATGAAATTTGTAAGTCGCAGAATCAAAATATTTTCAAAATTGCCAAATTCAATGCAAGATCTAGAAATTTTCATAAAAATTATGAAAAAATATGACAGATATATTTTTCAATATAAGTCATCAAGTTTAATTTTATTTGTTAAAATATATTTACAGAAACATTACGAATCTGAATATATAATCATTACAATTAATAATCTACATTATAAAATTGAATCCCAAATGAATGCTTTAAACGAATGAGTATTATTTCCTTATTAAAGCAGTTATTGCAGTTAATTGCAAAAACAGGCAAAATTAATGTACCGTAATTTCCGGAAGAAAGGCCGCATCAGCGTAAACGCCGCACTCGAGAAAATTGGCGGGAAAAAAATTAAAATTACACAGAAATGCCGCATCAGCGTAAACGCCGTAACAGATTAAATTGCGCGTGACATCGTCGTGGGCCGTATAGATGCAAAAACTCAACCTAGGTCCTGATATATGACATACCAGTTAAGAAAAATGCATGAAATGAAACCATAACTCAAAAATAAATTAAAAGGTAAGAAATGTATAGCTTCTGTGCCGTTTAGAGACATTTTCAAAAATTTTCCGCTCCCTAATTAAAAACTATCCAACAAGTACTTGTACCCTAACTGATGGGATCTGTATTTGGCAGAATGCCAAGAAAAATCCATTCAGCTGAAGGGAAATACGTCAGAGTTCGTTATTGCGAGGCAGGTGGAGTCGTGTCCGCCTTTGAAAAAAATTGCAGAAAAGGCAGGGGTGGAAAGAGGATGGGTTCTGGAAGATTCTCGAATGGCAGAGGAGAGAGACTATTCAAACTGATGAGAATGTTGATTTGAAAGGGGGAAGAATGTTATTGTTCTGAGATCTCGTTTAGGGTGAATAAGGCATTTTGGTCCGTTCAAGGGAAAGAACGTAAACAAAATAACGTTCGCAAAAAGCAACTGAGTGGTCTTTTGTGTGGGAACAGCACCAATCTATGCACAATGACAAGGCCATCCAAACTAATACAATGACCATCATAGGGAAATATTTTATTTTTAGTGCACCTAAACGCCGCACCCGCTGAAAATTTAAGTTTTAAACACGTAAACGCCGCGGCGTTTCTTCCGGAAATTACGGTAATAGTTTATAAGGTGCAACTTTAAAACATTGTCAGAAACTTACATGGTGTCTGGGGAGTGCTAAGTAAAATATAAGCTATTTTTTCCTTTATATTGCAATCAACTGAGTAAAATTAAAAATACACTGCAGCACTATAAACTAAAATTTAAAAATGAATAAATCAATTAAAAACAAACATAGAACTTATTACAAAAATGTCTCTTAAATAAAATTATTAAAATATATTATTACCTCAGTCTTGTTTTTCAGAAACACAAACTTTGGAATGCTTGAAACATTATATTTGGTTGCAATATCCTGGGAAAGAAAATAAGAAGACTTAAATTAAATTTATATGCAAGTTTTGAATTTTATTAGATTTTCCAAAACACAGCAGGCAGGTTTTATGCAGAGATAATTAACATTTTACTCTAAATAACAAATTATGCACCCAGAATTTAAAAAATAGGAGAATCCAGAACTATCATTTCTTTAATTTAAAAATCAAGAACTACCATCTTTTCAATTTAAAAATCCAGAACTATTATTTCTTCAATTTAAAAAAAAAAAAAAAAATGCTATTTGCGCATCAATAAATATCCTTTAGGTATCTTTAAAGATGCTAAAGAATGCCTTCTGGTGAAGAAATACCATTTGGCTTTCTTCGCAACAGTAAAATTATCTAATTAACAATCTCAACAATGCATGCTTAATGGCAATGTTTTATATTTATCTATAACAGCTTTATCTACAATCTTCAATATGTTCTTTACATAACTTACCTGATATGAACCTCTTGCAACAAAAATAAATAAATTACGTGCTGTCATATATGTTACATGATTTTACTTCAAATCAATATCCAGTGCATATTTCTCATAATTTCCACATTTATCAGTACCAAGCTTTCATAAAATGCTGGGTTTTTTTATCAACAACTTCAATTTTAAGAATTTATGCATTTCTAGCAGTCAACAGCAAGTCATCATCTTGGAAAAGGTGAACAGCTTGAGTTTCATTACAAAAATCCAAGAAACTCGTTGCTAAACACGAAATAACATAAAAATTAAGTAAAATACATATTTCCTGCAATAATATATCACAGATATTGTAGAAGAATCTCACAAGTGGTCTATACGAAGTTTAGAAAGCATTTGTAAATACCAGTTATGACACAGATGGGCAAAACATGTGCAATCTAAAATTAAAGATTTATTAATAACTATGCTACTGAGTTATTTAATCATGCAAAATCACCCATAATGAAGCCTCTAAATTTGGCTAAATACACAAATACCAAAAAAACTGCATTAAACATTTTTAATATATTTTTGAGAAAAAATCTTCCTTCAGAAACAACAAGTGGATGCCTGAATAACAAAATGCTGATAGAACATCAATGTTTCTAGTTGCTATATATTTATTAATTGGGCCTTATTATTAAAGAATGAAAGAGATGATTTTAATAATATTTTCTCTTTCTTTTCTACATAGGAAAATATTTTTACAGTTTTTATACCTATACAATTCATTTTATTATGGCGAGTAAGTATTACTTATCGGACAAAGGATATATCTGCATGGTAAAATAGCCAATTAGTGATGTGAATGAGTAATAATTCATTTTCTAAAGAGTCAGAGCGCAATATTTTTAGCGATTCTCATATGCACGTTTTGTCCGAGATTGAGCTCACTAAGTGTCTGCCTTGTCTTGCATGAAAGATTTTGTTACCTGTTCTAGTAAATAGTCTTTCTTGTATTTTTTATTAATTGATAAGTTTATTAATGTATTTTAGCAATTAAAACTTCAGAATAATTTGAGTAGCACTTCAGAAAGTTATTCCTCAAAGTAAGCAATTTTTATATATTGTCATATAAAGCGAAGGAAAAAGATTATTAAACGCTAATGTTAACATACATGATAGCTTAAGTAATAATCTAAAATAGTACCAAAAATTATAACATTAGAAGGTAAACTTTTTTTTTACGATTTTTTTTTTCTAGAGTTAGGCTTAGTGGCACAAAACCCCCATCCTGTGAGGCAATTTCAACTCCCATTCGCTCTGAGGGAACGTCTTAAACAAAGGTGTGCCTTCTCAAAAAGTTTTAAAAATTTATATAGTTCACTCAACCATCAGCAACAACATTAGTAATGTCATTTTCAGAATCACTTTCACTATGTGATATTACCAAATTCTTTTTGTCATAGTGATATTATGCAGTGGTCTCAGAAAAACAGAATCCATAAATCGTATATCTTTATTCTGGATTTAATTTCTACAAGGAAATAAAATTTAAAACAATTTAGATAACCAGGAATAATACATACAAGTATTAAAAAATACTTATAATTTACGAATGCAAAGATTTATATGTAGTATGGTTAGCAAGCTTAAGTTCTGATTTTGAAAATGTTTTTTTATAACACAGTTCTTCATTTGCCTGCATATTTACGCAGAAATTTTTACTAAGCAAATAAAAGAAATTATAATGTTCCTTCTTTAAAAAATGAAAATAAGGGATACTTTACATCAACCTCGTCAACATCTACTTTTAAAAAGACAACATCCTGGAATTCCTCTGAAAGCATCTACAAAAAGAAAATTCAAATGAGGAATAAAATAAAATAAAATAAAAAATGCAATAACACAAAAATAAACAATTTATAGGTACCTGAAAAAAAGGAGAAATCAATTTGCATGGTCCACACCAGGTTGCATAAAAGTCAACCACCACCAATTTTTCACCAGCTGCATCCAGCTGAGCTTCAAAATCTTCCTGTATGGAAAAAAAAAAAAAAATGTCAAGTATTTCACTTGCATAAGCAATATGAACTCATTTACACAGTCATACACTTAAAGTATTAGTTAATAAAAGCATACTTCATAACTGAATATAAAATAAATTGCATGCAACATATATTACACATGAAAAATGACTGTGGTGTTATAGTGGAAAAAACCCAAATAAAACTTTACTCACTTAGCATCTCAAGTGGATAAGATGTTTTTACAAGACATTTTACAAAACACAAAGCACATACTGATAAGCATCTTTATTTCTCTGGATGTATGCGTAGCTTAAATGCAGCTCATTTTTGATTTACAAAAAATGAAGTGGCATTCTTTAACTGCCCCCCCCCAGAAAAAAAAATTGTAAAAAAAAAAAAAAAAAAACCACATTTTACCTTGCATTAAAACTTTCAAAATGCATCTGAAAACATTTGAAACATGCTAAACTACACAGGAAAAAGATTTCCAACAAGTATTCATGTTGGAAATTGTTTTTATGGTCTCCGATACATTTTCCAACAATGTTGCAATTTAGGAGCAAATACCTATTACATTATGCAAGAAGGAGTCAAAAATGTGCAAAACAACTGCTGCTTAAAATAGTTACACGAGAGTGGTCTGTTCTGAGGAGGTTGGCATAAATAGAGTGGTATGCTAAGAGGAGGTAGGTTGGTTGCAGAAAGTCTTCCTTGTGTGGCTTGTGTAACAGAGAAGCCATGAAATATCCCAACTTATCATGTCCAAGTCATTGCCTTACACCTCCTTGGTTTTGTTTATATTCTAACAGGTGTTACTTATACATCAGGTATTTATCACTTAAGGTTTAAAGTCTCCCATTCTAATGCTAATGCTAAACACAAATCATTTTCTGCTTAGTATATAGAAAATGAAATGCTACATGGTGGCCATGATAAGTTGTGATGTCACATTGTTGACTGTCTCTTGGCTTCACTTTTTTGATGTCATGCTTACTCCATTTATTCTAACCTTTTTGGTTTGTTCAGAGCATTTAATGAAGATGGCAAAGGCAAAACTGAAGAAATAGATACACATCTCCCAACAATGCTGGCAGCATTTCAAAATTGGTAGATTTTTGATAGAATTCTCCAAGAAATGAATGCTTTCCTATTTAAATACTGAACAGGGATGCATGAACTTCCATACAAATGACTGTGCAGTACATAGAGGGATCAGCTATATATTCACATTGTTGGCAGGGATACAATATACAAGAAAGCTAGAAACAATTACTTAACAGCGTATCATAATTTTTAGTATCATTAGGATTATTGGGCTTTACAAAATCACAAAATAAAAGGCAATGATTAGCGGTATGGCACTAGCTTGAATTGCCCCTAGAATATACATGAAAAGTACATTAAAAAAATGAAGACATATTAACAGCATCTGTAAATATATGACCACCAGAAACTATACGTAAGAAATAAATTTAAGCATAAATATTGTTTAGCAACTTCTTATTTTTTAGTATTTTCAGCTTTGCAGATTTTCCTCTTCCTTCTTAACATTTTATACTTGCTGCTTCCTTTCAAAGTTGCCACTATAGCATGAAAGTACGAAAACTTATTTCTACGATCTAATGAGTACCTCTGTATTATTTAATCTTACAGCACAAGATAAAAATGTGCAAGTGTAAGATAATGCAAAACATGTCAATGACAGCTGTTACCAGTGGTGGAACCAGAATAGCTTAATAACAATCAAAAGGATGTAGTCATGAAAATTCCACTCTCGAGTGCATAGCCAAGTATGCTTCTGAATACAACAGGTGAGAGACTGTACATATTACTCAGTTTTTAATATGGAATAAAGCAAATTATAAGCACCCATATAGCGAGAGCTATGAATTCCTTATACTGTGTAGGCAACTCAGTTAACTTCAGACTGATTAACTAGGTTGCGGATTAACAAGGCCCTAAACTTTTTTTCTTTTCTTTTTTGTATTTTTGAATAATGGAAAAATTACAATCATAAACCATCAACATAAAATAAATCTGTATACACAAAATATAGAAAGGAAAAATGTGTGAAACAGTGGAGACACATTATTTGGAAATTGTTTTCATAATTGAAAACAGGTAATTTAATTGTTTGTAATCATGACTGTTTAAACAATAAATAATCTAAAATCGTAAAAACAACCTTGTATTTAGCGTAGGTATAACAAAACACTCAATCGATTTCGAGGGCAGCTAAAGGTCCCTCCTCATCAGGAGAAAGAAGAAAATAAAGGAGAAGGAGTCACAGAAACACGTGGTCCTTATCAGCACTGCACGTGGTTATAACTAGATTTTTAATCAGAGTTGCACTGGCCGTCTACTTTTACTGAGCCAGTCTATCTGATCGAGCATGAAAAATTAGCGAAGTTAAAATAGGGAGCGGGGGGCAAATGCACCTTACGCTCAAAATCTGAACTTCAAATAATGGAAAGCAACCACTGAACGGATTTTTATACCCTCTGGTAGTACCAAACACGAGGAGGTAACGCCAATCTATCGGCAAAAATAACTGAATTAAGATAGTAAGAATTTAAAAGGCACTAGGAAGGACTGGATTGGACTTCAAATCATTAACTAAACCTGCTAAATCTTTGTGGAATGTGAAAAGCCTCAAGAAAATCCAATTCACCTATAGAAAAAGCCTTTTGGATAATTTTTGCAGATCCAAAATCAAAATTATGGTTAAAAGTCCAACTATGATACACTATTAAAGACTTGTTAATTTCGCCTTTTCTGACATAAGATTCATGTTCCTTGATACGAAACTTCAACGCTCTTTTTGTTTGGCCATATATCTTAAACCACACTGACACGATATACTATAAATTCCCCAAGAGTTCAAGACAGAAACGCAATCTTTTAGAATCGAAGGTGAATTTTATTAATAGGGAGAACCGACTTGAAAATTGAATTCCTGGAGAATCCGTGCAATTTTATATAGCTAACAGAAGGATAAAATGGAAGCACGACAAGGTCATTAATATTATTTCTAACAGTGGAAATGTCTTCTTTGATGGGAATCTGAAAATTTTTTAACGGCTTTATCAATAACCACGGGAGAAAATCCACGGTCAATCGCAACTGCTCTCAAATAATTAAGTTCATTGGTAAGCAAAGATTCAGAGTCCTCTGAATTGATTGACCGTGGATTTTCTCCCGTGATTATGTAAGAATTGTTTCAATTCATATGATTAGCTTACTCAATCAGAAATTATGTAAAACCACAGTGCTTTACTTCGCTAGTGCATTATCATTAGAATTGATCAATTTAACCCTAGACTTTGCTTTTTCTATATTTTCACCCTCGGGTGAATGGTGTGATTGCATCCTAATTGACTTAATTACCGCGAATGGCCTTTATGGCACAAAACTCAACTATCTGGTAAAAAATTCTATGTAATTAATTGTAAGCAAGTATTGAAAGAAAAAATCAATCTGATAAGAAATGGCTGCAACTTGTTTTGAAAATGAAGCGTAAAAGCGAGGATATTCCATTTGGCATCAGTTGTACTATTATTGGAGACTTTATCGCCTGCACCGGCAAAATGGAAAAGTACCAGAATACTATATACCAGAGTATACTTTCTCTTGTACTTACAATAGTAAGGGATTCTGTCATTTTTACATTATCAATAAAAAATAATTGAGAAATGAAGAATTGCAGTTTATGCATCATACTGCCTACTACGCTGTTTCAAAGGATGATGAAAATAAGAATGATTAATTTTTCGGTACTTTTCCGTTTTGCCAGCGCAAGCGATAAAGTCGCCAATAATGGTACAACCGATGCCAAACGGAATGTTCTCGCTGGTAACCTTTTACGCCTCATTTCAAAACAAGTCGCAGCTTTTTTCTATCAGACTGATTGTTTCTTTCAATACTGGCATATCATACATAGAATTTTTATCAGATAGTTCAGTTTTATGTCTAAGGCAATTTTCGGTAATTAAGTCAATTAGGATGCAATCACACAGCGTTTACCCGAAGCCGAAAATATAGAAAAGATAATGTCAAGGGTTTAAATTCATCAATTCTAATGAGAATGCATTAGCGAAGTAAAGCACTGCAGTTTTACATAATTTCTGAGTAAGTTATTCGTACGAAATTGAAATATTCTTGCATTCAAATTAAGGTTTAACATGAAATTAATGTAGATAATTACTGAGAGCATTAGATTTTTGTAGAGTAGTTTACGTGACATGAGATCGCTTGGGGTCACGTGATATGAAACCGCGAATCAGGATGTTGAACCATGAAAGCATAGTAAATTCTTAAATTAAACGTCTTTTTACAAATTTTGTTGTCTTTATTTATTGGCTTTTTTATAAACATTTTTTAAGCGATATTAAAATGTTTTTATGCCTTCTTTTTTAAAAAGAATTCTTAGAACTAACATTTTTTAAATATTTTTTATGTGTATACTGTATGTTGTCGCCAATAAAGTCTGCTTGGCGAGATTTGCGCCGGCGAAACGGAAAAGTACCAATTTTTCTAATACTAACAACATACAAGCAATTCACAAGTATTTGTCACTATCGCTAGTCTTGATGTTTTAGGAATCCTATTGTGATATTGCGTTTAAAGCAAAGGGATGTGATAACATGTTAAATAAATTGAATGCTAGAACAGGACAAGAAGATGAAATTTTTAAAGAGGAAAATATGACTGTGGAAATAAAGATGAATCAACCATTTTGACAAAACACTCAAGATATTCGCACTAACATATTTATCACTACCAAGTTGTGGGCATTTGGTCAGAATTTGAGCGGTTTCCTGTAATCTGAAATACACGTAAGACACTGCAATGAACATTTCTGTTCTGCATATTTAACTACATAAACTGAAATGAGTGAGTAGGTGCATAAAAAGACAGTACTGGGTGTGTTTGTGATAAAATTTGTAAATAAGGTAAGTGGATATTTTCTTTGTGCAGTGTTAAGATGAATTTCCTTTTTTATGCTATTTCATCGATTGATTTAAAATGTAGTTTATTGAGATTATATATTTTTGTTGGCTGCTTCTTTGACTTTTTAAGTGAATATATGTATACATGGACAAAGTAAAGGGAGTGTGCAATGCCTAGTTTGTGCAATTCTCTGATGTTTTTTGAAGTGAAAATACATCGATGTAAACATGGATACCGAGTTTGTGCAATTCCTTGACTTGTTATTTTTGACTGCCAAAAATCGCCACTACACAAAGCCAAAATAATAAGTCAAAGAATTGCACTAACTCAGTGTTCATGTACCGCCAATTATCAACAAGGTGGCACCCGTAAATATATTTTTACCAACAAAACTACACAAGAAATACAGAAAGGAAATGAAAAATATGTAGGATAACAGCCATACTAGCATATAATCTCTGCTAAAATAATAAGTTTCAAATGATTTTGACTCTATGATATTTTCAAATTTTTGGTTAATCTTCAAATTATGGTAACTTGGCGAATTTTTCACGAAAATTTGGCGACTAACCCTGCTACAGCAACCTGCTAGTTTTTTTTTTTGGATGCCATTTTGTTTTCACGAAGTAAAGGCATTTTTCCCCCCCCCCCCTCATATTTTTTTCTAACAATGTGCTATCCGAATTACGCTTCTGCTAGAACTTTTATGGAACAAAAGTGCTTAATTATGACGAAGATTAGGTGCGAAATTGGAAGAAAGTGCACAATCGCCCACTGCTTGCTGCGTTTTTAAGAATTGCACATACACGGTATCCATGTACACGTCAATCTATTTTCACCTTCACTTAAAAATATATCCCAGAATTGCACAAAAATGGCATTGTGCACACTCTTTTCTTTAGCCATGTACACTGCTAAAGTCCTAGTTAGTAACCTTTATCGCCTTACCAAAATGTCGCCAAATTATCTGTTACCATATTCCAAAGATTAGACAAGTTTTTCTAGTAAATGATGTTTACGAATGTCATTTATAATTTAAGTTCATTTAAAATGATTCCACTATCTATTATGTATTCATGTTTCCCATACCAATTTAATTTTCTTAACAAAATAAACTACATGCAAATTATTTTTCTGTTAATTATAATGAGAATAATTTTTATCTAAACTACTTTTTTAACTACAATTTTGAGTTGACAATGAACATTGTCCCCTACATGATCCCCATTATTAATCTGGAACTGATAGTATATAATATTTTTTGTCAGCACGCACTAAACTGTGGAACACAATGATATCTGAAAAACCTCAGTTTACGAACCTCTCAGCAGAAGGATACACATATATCTTTTTATAATTTCAGCTACTACAAATAACTTTGGCATTAACATTATTAAATTATGCTATTAACAAAAAATCCAAAAACTTAATTATACATTATAAAATACATAACCAATATACAAAATTTCTTATTCCTCATAATAACATTAGGCTATGTAATTTACATTCTAAAATGAAAAATGCCAAAGGCAGAATGACACCTAATTTTTTTAACCTGAATTCTTAGGTTACTGTATTTTCATGAAGTATAACAAAAAAATCAAGAGGGGGGGGGAATTTTTCAGGCTTTTTTTTTTTTTTTTTTTTTTGTGTGTGTGTGTGTTATTGGAACAAAATTTGAAATCTGTCTTTAAATCATTAACAAATTTATGAACACACTTTTTAAAAATACACCTATATATTTTAACATGATATACATGAAATTTAGTAACATTAATAAAATTTTAGAGATGGTTAATTTTCTCTGCATACTATATTAATAAATAAGATTTTCAATATATGAATTTGGGATGCAGCTTTAACTCATAGCTATTCCCACTGGCTTGGCACGTTTTTAAGAATTGCACATACTCGGTACCCATGTACACATCGACCTATTTTCACTTTAAAAAAAATCCCAGAATTGCACAAAAATGGCATTGTGCACTCTCTTGACTTTATCCATGTACACATCGACTTATTTTCACTTAAAAAGGTCAAAGAAAATTGACAAAAATCCAATTCTTCTTACTCTTGTAAAAAGCGTCAAACAAATAAGTGTGCGATTTTGCACTTTAGCCGCTATTTTTTAATTTCCTCAATTTTCCAATTTTAAAATCATACCAGTGATTTAATTTGAAGTAATATGGTAATTGAATAAATATGTGGGGAAAGTGTAGAATCATTCACTACTTGGCATATTTTTAAAAGAATTGCACATACTCTGTACCCATGTATATATCGACCTATTTTCACTTTAAAAAAATCACGAATTGACAAAAATTGGCATTGTGCACTCCATTGATTATTCCATTGACTATTTTCATTGGTCAAGAAATGACAAAAATCTAATCCTTCTTCTCTTGTAAAAGCAAACAAATTACCACTTTACAAATATGTAAGTTATAATTTTTTCCAATTCTACACACTTTTTTTAAATCAACGTAAATAAGTAGAGGATGAATAATTTTACAAGAACATAGTTAACCACTTAAAACTAAGTTCCCTTCAGAATTAAATGTTCCCAAAATTTTGAGTTTAACTGGATTATGATTCGAAAGACGAAAAATGAGAGACCAGATTTTGAACACTTTTTGCGATCCCTGGGATACAAATGTCCAATCTACACAAAATACCAAGCTAAGAAAACGAATAAACACCAAACAAAAAGGTGCTCAAAATCATGCAATCTGGGACAGCAGGAGGGAAAACAATTCCAAAACACCACCTCATATTGTACAATATAATTCCGTTTATTTCTTAAAAAATTCTCGATAATCAACAATAGCAGAGAAGAAAGAAATTGCAGAAAACAGTATGCCAGAATATCAACATTTCCTTATTGCAAACAAGTCTTCAATATAAATGTTCTTTCTTTACTTTGTTACCCAAATTATTTTGCACACTAACTCTAGATTTTACTCTTCAAAACATTTACGATTATTTACTTTTTATAACACTTATGAAGCGGGGGGGGGGAACACGTTACAGATTCTCAACGTAGCGGGAACTCATTCAAAATCCCGCTACAATTTACATATCATTCCTAGGACATCAGCAAAATGAAAAATATTCGAATTACGACAATTTAGAATTAATATTTACCGTGTCTGAAACTGAATGAACCATTTTGAATATGCGAAAGCAACGTTAAAACAAACACCTTTTTTAACAAATCCACAATTCCCTCTGCAACGTTGTAAGCAACGACGAGAGATCACAAATCTCAAACGTGATAGGCTTACGAGGAACGACTATGTCATCACGATTTGATTTACGCAAAAGGGAGATTGACTGAAATTCTTTAATAAAAATAAACAATTAGAAATGATTAAATGTTGTCAATTTCGTTTAATTTTTATTAAAATTAATTTTAATCTCTTCCTAAATTAATCGAATTTTTAAATTCCTGCGCATAATCCATTTGTGGATAGATAATCCTACCCGTATAAAGCTTTACATAGTGCAAAACAGGAGATCGTTCCACGTGATCTAAGTCATCAGCATATTCACAAAAAGGATCATCAGTTCAGAGTTATCCCAGTCCCATAGGCGGCCGATATTAGCTCCTGAAATTTGATTTTATTCTGATCTTTATTTTGCGTGTGTTCCTTCGGGATTCACATACAATGTCCTGTTTTAGGACACCAGGATAAGGTTCGGAGAACAGCCTTAACGCCAAAACGGGGAGAAACAGCTTATTATGGTAGACCACGTTATGGCTGTTATCATGGACCTTATAAGAAATAGACTAACCCAGTGGGCGGGGCGTGCGTCACACACATGTCGGGAAGAAAGAGTAGGGACAATTTAGTTTATCGTAACATTGAAACATATGGCGTTTGTATCACATAACTCTTTTTAATTATTAAATGTGACACGTTGTATAAATGATGAGATAATAAAAATCACAGTTTTTGCTAATAAGATTTTATATATCTCATGAAACCACTTTTTAGTGCATTTTGAGTATTTGAGCATAAGCGTAATTCTTGTCTAAACATCATTACTTTGATAAAACGGTAAAAACTCTAAACAAAAAATTTATGAATTTACTTTTGCCTACAAATAAAGGAAAATTAAGTAAGATTGATAGTACATGATGCTATGATGCATTAAGATTGATAGTACATGATGCTTTTTGGCGCGATTGCGTGTTCTATGGCAACCCTGTTGATGTGGAAAAATCTTTCGCTGGAGCTCGTTGGTTCGCCTCTGTGTCTGAGAAGATGGGAGGGAAAGATAAAATGGTAGTTGTTGAATCGAAGTTCGGCAAAAGGAAATATGATTGTGGCTATCCTGTTGAGGGGTAGTGGGTATTTGGAACTGTGGAAAGAGGGTCTGGGAGATTATTTTTAATGGCAATGCATGATAGAAGTAGGGATTTGTAATTTTATTTATTTGTGAACCATAGTATAAATTTTCTGGATAGTGTGGCGGCATGTTAAAGGCGGTATGAAATTTATATTTCTGCTATTCGAAAACGCATTAATTCATGGTAAGTGCATTTTATTTTATCCTTGTTCTTATTTTGCAGAATGTTATGTTCATTGGTTCTTTAGTATGAATTTATGTCGTTGTTGTTTTTTTAAATTGTTTGAAATTTATTTTAGTTTATTTTGTTGTTTAGTGTCTAGACTGTACAATTCGTAAATGTTTTTAAAGTTGAAACAGAACGCTGTGTACATGGTATTATTTGAAATTTATTGTTTTTATGTTATTTTATTAAAGCGAGGAGTGCGTGGATCGTAGATTCCTTCCTTGCCTAAATTGTGCAATTCGTAGAATTTTTTTTTAAGTTTAAACAGGATGCTGTGTACATGGTATTCTTTGAAATTTATTGTTGTTATGTTAATTTATTAAAGCGAGGTCTGCGTAGTTTGTAGATTCCTTCGTTGTCTACATTGTGCAATTCGTAGATTTTTTTTAAAGTTAAAACATGTCGCTGGGTACATGGATTCTTGTCAAATATTTTTGGTTAGAAACTTTACGTTTTTACTATCTAAATTTTTTGTTTTTGTTTCGGATTTTTAGCTAAATTGTGTGTTCAAAACGTAGTTTTTGCATGTGCGAAAACCGCGTTTTTGGAGACATTTTAGGCTAAAAGTTCAAAATGTAGACAAAAAATTTAGATAGTAATATGGCAGCGTAAAGTTTCTCGCCAAATATATTTGGCGACTTGAGGGCGCATATCAGAGTAGTTCCAAAACTCTAAACAAAAAATTTATGAATTTACTTTTGCCTACAAATAAAGTAAAATTAAGTAAGATTGATAGTACACGATGCTATGAAACAAATAAGGTAAAATTAAACAAGATTTGGTATTTTTTTTTTTTTTTAATTTTATGAACATTTTCAGGCAGTAGTAGTAAATATTTATTATTTCAAATGTTTATAGAAACCAAGGATTGTTTTATTTATTTTTTCTGTTTTCAAAGTTATTATGGTATTAAAAGATGATCATTTATGACAATATTAATAACTCATAAAATTCGGAGCATAAACTTTTCTGAGTGTAATGAAAATTTTTTCAAAAAAACCGCAGTAAATAAGAAAATCTTATGCGGAACTAGAAATAAATTTTAAAAAATAATTACTATAAAATACAAGATATTATATGTCCAATCTTAAATTTTTATTAATGCGCCTAAAGTAACCTTGTAATTTTATATACCTGTAAATACTTTAAGTAGAAGGACTATACATCCATAAATACATATGTATGAAAGTAAACAATTTAGGATATTTGTTGCATTGAAAAATTCGCTTACTTCACTTTTATTTCAAATATTTGTGAAACACAAGATTATATCTATTTATCTATTAATGTAAATACACACATCTATATATATATATTTAGAGAGAGAGGGAAGAGAAACAGATAATATAGTTTATTGATGCTTAAATAAATTAATTTAGTAAATTTGCTTCGAATATTTTCTCTCTGTTTAGATTCATTGTAACATGCAACTGCATGATGCATTCTGATTTTTAAATATTGAAATATCACTGCTTTAATTAATTTAATCAGGTGGTTTTTATATCTGGCTCATCATCATAAATATGGTCTTGAAGAGAAGGAAATATATATGTGTTCCTACGCTTTTTAAGACTTTTAGAGTCATGAAATTTATAACACTTTTTTTTATTCAATTTAAACTCCTTTTCAGTCAGTCTGCCTAAAAATTATTTCTTTTCTGCATTTTTGCAGATCATTCGGACGTCACTGGAAGGAGAAGTCAAACCTTTACATCCAGATTTATAATATTTGAAACCTAGCAAACCATCATATGGTTCTGTTGAAACTAAAGCTGAGAAACAGATATTACATTTTACTTTATAAGCTAAGCTTTTAACAACAAAACCAGCTATATAAGATGTATACTTTTCGTTCTTAAATATTCTTATTTTTGATTAGTTATAATGCTAGGAATTAAAATTTAACTATAACTTAAAAAAGCAGCAAAAAAAATGATAAATTTTAAAGAAAAACTTTCAAAATTCATTTTTTAGGCATTTTAGTTAGTTTGGCTATAGTTTAGTATTAGTTATAGTTTTAGTAATTGTAAGAGAAAATTACTTGGTTGAATTTTTCTGTTAGTTTCAGATTTAAAATATTATTTTCTAAAAGAAGAAGTTACAAATTCGCTTACATCATAGGAAAAGCTAAAAATATATACAAGCCTGAAAGCATGCAATAGCTTTATAATTATTTAGAACGTTAATTATACACTTGAAAATCATGCTAAGTATTTAAAAAGCAATCTCAGTGTCAAAAATAAAAATATTTAAAAATTACTTGTGAAATGAGGCACTACCACCAGCTTTTTCGTGACAATAGTACGCGCTGCAATAGCCATCCACTGCTAATTTCTGGAGGTCGTCCCTACTCCTCCGGATGTGATCAAGGTGACAGCGGGGAACGCGCCAGACAAGGGAGAAAACGCAATTGGGTTAGTCTATTTCTTATAAGGTCCATGGCTGTCATCCGATGACGTACTTCTTCTAGGAGGACAGCGTGATACTTTTCCATGCTAAGGGATTATCCGTAGCAGCAGATCGGGATACGTATTCGGAAAATATTTATTACGTTTGCTGTCCATCCTGTGATGACAATGATTTTAGTGATGCTGGTTCCGAGCAGTCAACTTTTTCGTTACCCAGCACTTCACGACGAAGCGACTTTCTGAAAAGCCCTGCGTCTGATAAAGCAGTTAAACCAATGAAAACAAAAAAAGAAGAAATTAGAAGCTACCCCAAGTACTCAGGAAACAGCTAAGTATTCAGATGAACAAGGAATGAGCATATTAATGGCAATGATTAAAGAACACGGAATGGAAAAATTTTCAAACTTGATAAAGGATTCTCCTAAGCAAACGCAGATTACTACAGCTCCAAGCGCAGAAGAAAGACGAAAAAGAATTCGTAATGAATAAATTCAAAAAAGTGAAGTGGCCGACCAGCGGTCGAACGGTAAAGTCGCTGAACACTGATAGTTCGGTCCGAGGTTCGAATCCCGCGAACTGGCTGGCGCATGGGCGTTTCCGTGGTTTTCCCCATGTGTAACGGGTATACGAGCCAGTTTCCTTTAGAAAGTCCTCCACGAAGGCATCTCTCCCCTTAGGCAGATAGCCCTCGAGGCTTTGCTATAATCACACACACACACACACAAAAAACTGAAGTAATAGAAAATTGTAGAGTTCTTTTGGTTTGTGTGACTGACAGTGTTGACCATTTTTCATGATACCTATGTAACTGTGCATCACCTTCCCCCCTTTTTTTTGGTAACTCATGCAACTGCGCAACATAATTATTCATATAGTATAAAGATTTCTATAACAGCATTTCTTATATGTAACAGTACAAATTATGTAACGGTGAGAATTCGTAATCTAAGTATCAAATTTACGGTATATCATTGGTTTGTAACTAATTCATAATGTTGTAACACATATAATGTCGAAGGTTGAAGTTGTAACCGTATTTAGCTTGACCTTTGTACAAGTAATTTCTAATTACAAGATTTTGTAACTTAATTTTGCACTAGATCAAGATCATTTTACTTTGTTTCTTCTTCACAACTGTTTATTTTCCTATTGTATTAAGCTTATAATATCTGAATTTTTTTTAGTTGCTTCAAGCAAAGATGACAATGTAATTATTCTTGTATTGTGACTCTGTAACTCGATTATGTTAAATTAATGCTTGTCTGATCTGCCTTGGCCAACTGAGGCTGTGGCGGAGCTTGTAGTAGACTTCCAC